GGCGGAGCAAATTTTGAAAGTAGTTACCAGTAAGAATATGAAACACAAATTTCCTACAAAAGCAGAAAATCCCTCCAACTCGAATCCTCGATTTTTCCCACTCAACATGTCTCACCAGAGAACCACCCTCTGAAACACTCTGTATAAACCGTGACACTGCGAGACTCGCTCTCTTCATTTTAGATCCTGCTCTGTGTTCGGTTTTAAAACAGTCAGTCATGCTCTCGCAGTTCATTTCGCTAAGATAAGAGCTTGTTCAGTGCATAACAGAAGATCTTCCCCATTACATCAAGTACGAGTTGTTTGCGAGCTACTCCAAGTCCAGGACACTAACTAGAAAACCAAAGCCTACTGCAACAGTAAGTCTTTTCTTCCATATTCTTCTATTTAGTCGCGAATCTGTAATAACGTAATTCACAACATAATGCCACGAAGGGGAAACAATCGCCCGTTTAGAGGTTGGCTTAGAGGTTGATATCCCTGTATTCATCCCGAATTCCGCCTATCCATATCTAGTACCGATGGAATTCTTCTTCAATCTTTTTCCTCCGTCCTCCGCTACTATACGCGAATTATAATGTAATAAAAAACTCAGTCAGCACTGCTCACTTAAGATTCATTCTCTGGCGGCATGTATAACTATAATGTTAATAGCGTCTAGCGAACTAAAATCTTTTATTGTCTATAATTTAATTGTAACCACGATTGGAATGGAAATACGATTCGAATGAAAATAATAACCTCGCTTATGATAATAATTTCGGTTAGCAACATATTTTGATTATAATAACATTTTAATATTTTGTTTGTATTTACCATCTTTAGTTAATTTTTATAATGATTTGTATAATTTGTAATAATGATTTTTGTGGTAATTCTAGTTTGTAATAATTCTCTTTATGCGTAATCTTTCATATTTGCATTGCTTTCTTTACTATTAATAATTAGATAATAATGTTTGATTTAAATAAACTATGTTAATAATTTTCATCTCTCTCACTCTCTTATTTTAAAACCCTGAGACCTCGTAGTCGTTAACCTTGCCTTTTCAGAGATCGCACGTGGTCCAGTCCCGAGTTAAGATTAGATTCCTTGACTCAAAATTTGGACCAACGACCGCACCGTTCGTAGGGAACAGGTGTTAAAGCGTCCTTACGGGACATTGACCCATATTCCGAAGCGAGCACAAAAGGGATGCGTTCGACTTGCGGCACTCGCCTCCGTGCGGGTACCTGCGAGAAAAGAGTCTGACCGTCCTTCCAAGTACCCTCACCGTTCCCGCTCCTTTCATTCTCCGAGAGGATCACAAACAATCAAAAATTTTCCAAGGGTTTGGACGTAACACTTTGCATGATTGCGTTTTATACCTCAGCTCATTCTCTTTAGAAAAACACTTGGAAATTGCAGCCCAAGACGTAAGATCATCTGCAGATGCACTTGGCAAATTAACAGGAAAAGTTAATGTAGAAGAGGTGTTGGATCGCATTTTTAGTAACTTTTGCATAGGAAAATAAACATTGAAACACAAAACATTGTTCGTTTTTGATATTGAGACGGTGTCCGATTTAATTTCAGCATCAAATTTGATATCGGATGAAGTAGATACTGATAACTCAGAAACCAGCAGAGATTTTTTAACCCAAAAACTTAAAGAGTATCACTTAGACATCACTCAAGGAAAAAACTCATTTATAAGGCAACCATTCCATAAAGTAGTTACAATAAGTTTTTTAGAAGCTGATATAGAATATCAAGACGATTTTGAATACTGTAAAATAAAGGACTTAAGATCAGGCGGAAATGTAGAATCCAGTGAAAAAGATTTTATCACAGGATTGTTTCAATATTTGAGAAAGATACATCCAAGATTCGTAAGCTTCAACGGTAAAACTTTTGATATGCCTGTTTTGAAATATCGAGCAATGCTATATAACATACAACTAGATTGGTTTTATAAATCAGGTGATAAATGGAATAACTACAGCAATAGATATTTACTAGACTGGCACTGTGACTTACTGGAAGCATTTTCAAATTTTGGCAGTTCAGCAAAAGTTAAGATGAACGAAGTATGTGCAATGCTGGGCTTACCAGGAAAAATGGAGATCGGCGGTAGCATGGTTGAACAGATGTACTAGGCAGGATTCAAGAAATCAGAGATTACTGTGAATTAGACGTATTGAACACATATATATTGTATTTGCGTTATGCGCACCATATTGGCAAAATGAAACGAGATGGATATCTTAAGTCTGTTTCTGAGATCATATCTTTCATAACATCAAGTAATAAAGAACATTATAACATGTTTCTTGAGAAATGATTGAGAAACGCAAGAGAAGAGGAGTTCGAGTTGTAAAAACACTGATACTAAATGACTCAATTCAATATCAGACTGTATTCATTTATTACACGCACTAATCATGTTAAAATACGCATCCTTTCTTTGATCAAATTGCATACTATATGCGATAATATTAGTCGATTATTTACGACTTTGCACAATATATATTGCAATTTTAGCAAAAATGATGCAATTACTAACTAATAGCGTTATTAGATCTTAAAATACAAAGCCTATTTAATTTCAACAACTATTTAAAAGCATGACAAAAAATATACCAAATATCTTGACACTACTACGCATTTGCATGATACCGATACTCATAATGTCATTTTATTTGCAGGATAACTTCGCTCATTATGTGGCAGCTGGAATATTCATATTTGCCAGCATTACAGATTATTTTGATGGGTTTTTAGCAAGACTTTGGAGTACACAATCACGCTTTGGTGCAGTTTTAGATCCAACTGCTGATAAAATGCTTGTTGCTTCTGCCCTCCTTATGCTGGTACACCTTGATAAGGTTGATGTCTTCCCTGTAATTGCTACATTATGCAGAGAGATGCTTGTTTCCGGCCTTAGAAAATATTTATCAGAAACAAAAAGTGAATATACCAGTAAGTAACATAGCAAAAATCAAGACTGTAACACAAATGATAGCCATTACGGTGCTGTTGCTCGGCGAAAAGTGTACTGGAATACCTTATACTGACCAGATCGGGCAATTTTTAATATGGATCGCTGCCATATTGACACTCACCACAGGCTATGTTTATCTAAAAGAAGGATTAAAACATTTATAAGTATGTACAGAGCACCACAGATTGCTGTAAAACTATGTGGGCTGAACAGTCGCGATAGTATATTGTCTGCCGTACAGAATGGCGCCGATTATATAGGATGTCATTTTGATCCCACATCTGTAAATTGCATTACCCCAATTGCCGCAAGAGGAATGCTGATGGATATTCCACTTTTAAATGTAAAAAAGGTTGCGGTTGTAAATAAAGTAACCAATTTACTGCTAAACAATATTATCTTGTTATTCAACCCAGATTATATACAGTTTAATGGCTTTGAGTCACCTGATATGCTCAAAATCATTAAGTCACAGTTTAATTGCAAGGTGATCAAAGCATTTCAAATACAAAATTCTTACGACTTTGAGAAGACAATCCCGTACGATGATGTGGTCGACATATTTATGTTCAAACCATCAAATCAATTTGAAGAATTTGCGGATTGGAATATCTTTCAAAAAATAGAAACAGATAAACCATGGATACTATCTGGCGACATCTCTAGATATAACTTCTATTATATAGTCAGAGAGACTAATGCAAAGATACTGGATATAGAAAGTGAAATCTATACCAGGAAGACAAGATCCAATATTAATAAAAAGTATTGTAGAATCGATACATAGTTATTTTTGATACTTACGTTTCTTTTTTAAAAAAATATAAAACGCACCACTTCCTCCGTGATGTTGCGCTGCATGGCTGAAATATAGTATCGTGCCTTGTAAAGACTGTGTATTGACCCATTCTTGTATCATGCTATTGATGGTTTGATTGCCCATTAGTTCGCATCTATTGCCCCTTCCCTTTCCAGTAATTACAAGAAGTAACCATGGTGTAAGAAACAAGGTGTGCTCATTCCTCGAACGCATTTTCGTTATGTTTTGCGCAGGAGAAGCGTGACAAGATTCCGCCATCTTTAAAATACCATTGGCGCATAACAGCGCGATAATTGAAAGTATGATGATGATGTAGAGGTTATCATGGAGGTTATGTTGTGTTTCGGAGCTATTGCTTGTCGCTGATCACTTGTCTCCAGTGTACAAGTCATTACGCGCTTGATACTTCAACAAATCGGAGAGTAATAATTAAAATTTTTCTAACCTTGATATTCAGAGTTTTCCAGGAGCTTATCGCTTTGTTGCTTTCCCCATAACGTGTTAAAATGCCGTCGTGTGCAATAAAAAAGTGCAAAAACAATTCACGAAATACCAAAGGTATCGATATAAGGTATTTTTTATTTCCAAATATAACTGAAATGATAGAAAAATGGAAAGTGTTGTGTAAAGAAAACGTAAACCCAAAAATCGGTATGTATTAGTATTAATACCTACAGATTAATAAAATATGAAATAAAACTACTTTTTGAACAAATTAATTATTCTATTAGAAGCATGAAAGCCTGCACACAGGATCTTAATGTAAAATCATCCGTTAAAAACAATGTCTTTTAATAACAAAACATAATAAACATATAGACGTTTTGATCTTCTGTTAGGTCATCGATCTTTAATATCTTTACAAAATAAGTTTAAATTATTTCATGTTAATATCTCTTATAACATGTTAAAGTTAAAATTAATTCTCCCATGCTTGCTTCGCATAAGTCATTGAATATTTTAGAAGTCAAAATCACACGCTTATAGAAATTGATTGGTGAAATTGACTCCAGCTATTCTGTAACTCTTAAAGCAAATTTTGTTACTGTTATGACACCGTTACGCAGCTTTTATATCATATATGATAAACAATAACAAAACTTATATTAGGAGTTATAGAACAGATGGTCGATTCTGTATCTTAAAACGAGGTGGAAATTACAAAAGTGAGCAAATTTACTAGATATTGACCAATGAAATTGTAATTATTCTAGTTAATTCGCTCACTTTTGTAATTTTCACCTCGTTTCAAGATATAGAATCAATCCCCTGGACTATTGAACTGCAAACATTTTCACATTAAGATCCTGTGCAGGTGAAATGTTCCTTTTATAGAAAATAATAGATAAATAAAATATACAATTAAAAAAATACATTATTTATAATTTATTTATATAGCTCGTGTTTGTTCCAAACACTTTGATTCTTCACAATATAAGGATACTTTGTGGTTACGTAGGATATTGCCTACTTATAGCCCTGTGAATAGTAGGAAACTAAAACCAAATGCAATTCCAATGGAATTTGTAGAAGAGGCTCAGGCAATTGTGAAGAATGATTTGGGTATTTATTATTACATATATTTGGCACTAAAGTCATTGATTCACTTTTAAAGAATTATACTGTGTGTTCTACATAATAACATATTGAATATGTTTATAGAAACATATGTTGAGACACATTTTACACAAGTTGCTACAGATTGTGATACATTGAGCTCTATGAGTCCAGTTGCGTCGAGGTCAGAGAGTTTTGTTGCATCATCATACTCTACAAGTGAAATGGCATTATGCTCTTCAAGTCCAACTGCATTGAGCTCAGTAAGTTCTGTCGCATCGTGCTTGTCACGTCCTGGGGCGCGTGTGTGCGGATGCCCCTCGGACGCGGCGTGGGCTCGTCCGACGACGGCTCGGCGTGATTCTCGCCCCGAGCGGCAAGGGCGGTAATCACGGTTACCGGAGTTAAGGAGGGAGGTTGACTATCACAAAATAATCACGTAGAAATCTTAATTTTTACAGCGACAGTTGGTTTGGAGTAGGATGAGCGGTAGGGGGCTCTTGCTCTCCGCTCGGAAGGCCGGCCAGGGCTCTGTCTTGAGCGACTGGAGGGCAAGGCTAGGACGCTCTGGAAGCCCTGAGAGGGGCTTCCTAGAACGGATTTCAAGGAATGAGAGTTAAGAGGAATGCCTCGGCGGCCCTGAGAGGGGCTTCC